ATATCTCTAACAAGTGGAATCAAAGAGCCAACTAGTGTAGACAGCTGCCGTCTGATATCAAGGATGTGGAATAAATACTCAAATGGCTTGCCATATACTACTACTACTACTACTACAACTTCTACTACTACTACAACTTCTACTACTACTACTACAACTTCTACTACTACTTCTACAACTACTACTACAACTTCTACTACTACTACTACTACTACTACTACTACAACTTCTACTACAACTTCTACTACAACTACTACTACTACTACAACTTCTACTACTACTACTACTACTACTACAACTTCTACTACTTCTACTACACCTTCTACTACTACTACAACTTCTACTACAACTTCTACTACTACTAATAATAATGATGAAACATCCTGTGTGTCTCCAGGATAGAGATGTCGAGCAGTGCGTCTCCGGACGCTTCCTGTCAGCTGGACAGTCGTTACTGGAAGATCACGATGTCTGACGGGCACGTGGAGGAGGTCCAGGGACCCGGGGTGGTCGGTACGAGGCCGCCGTGACATCACTTCCTGTGTGAGTCATGTGATCACCTGAGGGCCCCTGCTGACTGTGTGTGTGTGTGTGTGTGTGTGTGTGTGTGTGTGTGTGTGTGTGTGTGTGTGTGTGTGTGTGTGTGTGTGTGTGTGTGTGTGTGTGTGTGTGTGTGTGCAGGAGAGTTCCCTGTCATGACCCCAGGGAAGGTGCATGAGTACGCCAGCTGCACCACCTTCTCCACGCCCTCAGAGTACATGGAGGGACACTACTCCTTCCACCGGCTCGGTGAGATACCTCAGCTAGCGCTCTTATTCTGAAGCAGCTGTAGCTCTTTTATTCTGAAAAGCCTTAAAGGTGTGTGTTTGCCTCGCAGCCGATAAGGAGGAGGTTTTCCACGTGATGATCCCTCGCTTCCACATGGTCTGCCCGCCCTTCAGAGAGCCCGTCATTAGAGCGGTAAGAGATCACCATATCTGTAATGCTTCATTGTGATCCGAAGTGCTTCTCACGGCTTCGGCTGTGATCTCTCCGCAGCAGAAGCCGTCGAGTCGGCGCCTCGAGGATCCCGACGGAGACGGAGAGTTTTGCGACGGAGACGGAGACGACTTTGGAGATTTGAGAGGAATCAACATGGCCGCCCTGGAGGGGGCGTGGTGTCCGCGGCACATCTGACCTCACCTGTCTGCAGCAGGGCATTCTGGGTAAAAGGTAACCAGAGACACAGCTCAACTTCCTGCTGCCGGACGGGACAAAACAATGTGAACGAACGCCGTTTATATAAAGAAACACTTTCTGTTTCCTCTCGTGGTGGATTTACTGGGACAAAGAGGCGGGGACGAATCCTCGGCTCTGATTGGTCGGTTATTGGATATTTCAGACTGGAGGTTTGAGGTGCTTCTCCATCAGTTCTCTGTATTATTTAAATAATCTCCACTGCAGGAACAAAGTCCTTTACCTGGGCAGGTGTTAGCATCATGCTAGTGAGAGGCGCTACACAACATTCATCTGTCACACACACAGACTCTGACACTGGAACCCAGCTCTAATGTAAAACCTCCACTTCCTCTTTCTTGAGTGAAAGAAAGATTGAAATATAGATTTATAAATATCAGCTGTTACTCCGAATAAATATTTTGACGAATATTTGACGGATTTTGACATTTCGTGCCAACATTCGTGACATTTAGACGAATGACCCCCCGGAGTTTTGTTTACTTCCTGTTTACACTGAAGTAGCCCCTCCCTGTTGACGTGTTGACCCTGCAGTGGAGAGAGGTCAAATGTGACCTAGGTCATCATGTGACCTTTGGGACGTGTTCGTGCTTCGCTGCTTCCTCTTTTCAAACTGCTCGCTGCATCGAGGCGTGTGATTGGTGCGTTTGTTTTGTATGTTCTTTGGTTAAATAAATAATAAATAAGGATTATGACAACAGCTGCTGCAGACTCTGTTTACTGGTACACACTCATACCATACACAGAGACACACACACACACAGACACACACAGACACACACACACACACACACACACACACACACACACACACACAGAGACACAGAGACACACACACACACAGACACACACAGACACACACACACACACACACACACACACACACACACACACACACACACACACACACACACACACACACACACACACACACACACACACACACACACACACACACACACACACACACACACACAGAGACACGCACAACCACTCTAACCCCAACATGTTTCCAAAAA